AAAAAAAAGTGACTTGTGGCCGTTGTTCACACTTACAACCATTTGCAGCATTTCCCATGGTCAAAATTCAGAGGCAAGTGACTCATAGTTATGATGGCTGCAGCGTCCCAGGGCCCCCCCCCCCCTTTGACAAGCAATGTCAACAGGGAAGCCAGGTTCACTCAACGCCCTGGTTGCTAACTTATCAAGCTGCAGGGATTCACTCAGTAATGTCCCCTCACTTAGTAAGGTCGTAATGCGCGGGGGAGGATTGAGCGTGGTGGAAGTCCCTCTCTGCGGTGGGTGCGGTTAGCAGCCTCAGGCCCTGCAGCGCCATTAATGAGGGGAGGTGGGCTGCAGGGAAGGGAAGGCGCCCCAGAGGGGCAGCCCTCCAACGCAGCGCAGAGCCAGGATGAATCATGCCCGAGTCCGCTTCCGCTCAGCCCAGGTGCCTCTGCAGGAGAGAGACGGCCGGCGCGGCAAAGGGCCACAGGTGGGGAGACACCCCCCCCCCAGAAATCCGTCCCACACGGGGCCTCCCGGCCCAAAGGCAAAAAGCACTGAACGGGAAGAAAAGAAAAGGACAAGAACCGAAAAGGCAGCCTGCCCTGCAGGGCATTTTCCTCTCTAGGGGCCCCGCAAGGGCATTTCGGCAGCGGTTCCTCCAACGGGCCTCAGATCCACGCCTGCGTTTCTTGAGTGTCTCCTCCCTGGGTAAAGGCTGCTCCGGCCATGGTCGTAGAGCCCATTTCACACACAAGGGAAACGACCCCCCCCCATTTAAACCCGCATCCCGAAGCGCCAACGGCCGACACCGTAGCCCGGAATTATTCTGCGGTCCCGAAGGGGCCTGGAAAGCCCCCTCCCCTTCCAGGGGGGCTGCACTTCTTCTCCAGCTGCCGCCAAGTTGGAGGGAGCCCCGGAACCCCGTGGGACGGGCGTGGCAAGCCCCGTCTGACCTCTGGCACTCCGCCCAAGGTCATGCGGGTGTTGCCCGCCCCCGCTTGCGGGGAAGCCTCCCCTCCAAAGGGCTCAAGGTTACGGGAGAACCTTCCCCCCCCCCCCGCCTTGTAGTCCAGAGGGGCAAAGCAGCCCTTGGATACGGGGCGGCTTTCCAGTAATAAGGCAGGCTGCCACTCTGGCCCTGCCGGCCACCTCTTCGCGGCCCTGCCAAGGAGCAAAGGAAGCGGGGATTGGCAGGCTTGGCTGGGAGGCTGCCAGCCGGGGGCTTCCGAGGATGGGAAGCAGCAACCGCAGCAGCAGCAGCAGCATCAGGCCTGATCCGGCAATTAGCCGGCTCTTCCCAGCGCCTCTAGATATGCAACCGGGGCGGCTCAGCAACTGCTACCTGGGGCTGCTCTTTTCCCAGCGGGGAGTCGGTGCAAGCGGGGAGGAAGGAGAGGAGGAGGAATGGGAGGGAGGTCAAGAGGAGAGAGAGAGAGGGAGAGAAGGAAGGAAGCAGAGGGAGGGAGGGAGAGAGGGAAGAAGGAAGGAGGGAGAGAGAAAGATGGGAGGGAAGGAGGAATGGGATGAAGGAAGGGAGAGAGCAGGAGAGGAAGGGAGGAAAAGCGGAAGGGAGGGGAAAGAGGAGATGGGAAGAGAAGGAGGGAGGGAGGAAAAGAGTGGAAGTGAAGGGAGGAAGGAAGGATAAGAGGAGAGGGAGAGAAGGAAGCAAGGAAAAAGAGAAAGGGAAGGAGGAAAAGAAGGAAAGCAAAGGGAGGAATG